AATATTTGGCCTACCCAAATTTTGACTACTACCCGTGCGTCTACGTCCTGGATTGGCCAATCAGTGGTGCCCCACGGTGGCGTGATACATGCACGTTTACTGCGGTGCTCTGATTGGCTGACCGAACGTGGCGTGGTAGGTAGGCTGTTTCTACTCTCTAAGTCCTCTTCTTTCCTTTTTTCATTCCCCTCATGCACTCCGTTCTTTGGATACGGTCGATCCGGCAAGGGAACCTGGTGATAGTGCAGGGCACCCTTGTCCGGGGGTCACCGGTAGTGGCAACTTTTTTAGATATTAGCCAGGCTGTGTAACCTGGGGTGAGAGCCCGACGCCCGTCCAAGAGGGGGGTGGGGTTTCACTGCTCTCAGGCAGGTTTCTCCTGTGTTATAGGTAGGATTAGATGTAATCAAGAAGATGACAACTGCGCTAGAATAAAACACAGAGATATGGATACTCTATTGAAGGGGAAGAAGTAAGGGAAATCACTTACAACAAACCATGCAAGTCCCACTAACTAGGAATATTCAGCACCAATGAAGGTTTTAAAGTAATCTGTAAAGATGACTTTGATTCAGATAAAATCCTTTCAAAAGAAGCAAGAGATATATTTTACAATGAAGGCCTTATTGTTGTCATGCCACCAGAACAAAAGCAAAAAGATCAGTTTTTGTTCGTCAAGTCGATCAAGAGATCGGGAGGAAGACCTGAAAGAAGAACTGGAACGCCAAAATAGGTGGATGAAGATTGAAGAAGTCATTAAGATAAAGGACTATACCCATGTTTGAAGAAGTGTCAATGGCTGAGAAAGTTTTACAACAGGGCTTTCTAATATTCAACATGTCAGTCACACCACATCAAATAAAGAAGGAGACATTCATCAGTCTGCAAACTTGCTTCTCCTGCTACAAATATGAAGAACACACAACGAGAGACTGTCCGGAAAAAGAAAAAAAGTACTGCTCAGATTGTGCAGGCGACGACCATTACCTACACTGAATGTAAGAATACACATGTTGGCTGTCTCAACTGTAAGAGAAAGGAAATACATAGGACATAGGACGTTAGCAATGGCATGCCCAATAAAAAAACACATGATAAAGTACAAGAAACAAGGAAAAAGGAACAAGACAAGAAGGATACGACATACGTCGAAATAGCAAAGAGAGCGGTCCAAGAGGCTCATAGACCAGAATCCACAGTATTAAACCTAAGTGAGCCAATACATGATAAGGTAATGATTAGTATGATCCATGCACATTTGCACAATATCATTGCACCGGATCATACAATGAGGAATTAAGGAAAATGTTTAAATTGAATAACCTACCAGAGATGATATTTCCAGAGAATCCACAATCCGAAAAACTATTTCAGACAACATATGCAAGCGAACTGAGAGAAAGACTACATCAAGACGAACAAAGGTTTGAGCAAGGAGCAACAGCTGATACACACAAGGAACACAAGCGACTGATAGAGATCCCAGACAAATGACTAGAAGTGACAAAGAGAATAACAAAAGGACAGACAAAGGAGTAGGAGGAGAGAAGATAAGATGGAAACTGATCACAATATACAACCTGAATCTGCTGAAGAAATTGGATTAAAAGTTATCACTACAACAAAACATGGAATCCCAACATCGAGACCAACAGGAGGGACAATAGTAAAAACTGTGAAGGAGGGATATACAAGTGGACATATCAAGAAAAATCCTAAGTGAAGAATGTGTCTGGTAATTACTACGGACAAACTAAAGATTACGGCCAAAGACTTTAAAATAGTAGACCCGTCAGAGTATAGAAGAGTCAGAAGCGGGAAACAGGATGATAGGTCTCCACTCCAACTGACTGCCACAATCCAAGTATAAGAAATAATGGACAATAGACAAACAGTAAGAACTTTAAGAATAATACAACACAACGTAAGAAACTGGAAGACCGAGAGAATTAACCTAAGTAATATATATCTGAAATTGACCCTGACATTATACTAATAAACAGTCACGGTGAGACAGAAAACAACAACATAAAACTCTTTAACTATTATGTAAACCAAAGAAATAAATCGGGCGAGAAAAATGACGGAGTAGCGATAGTTAAAAGAAACTTAAAATTTAAACTAATTGATGACTTCAGGATGAATTTCTAGCAAAAAATAAATACAACTCAAGGAGACGTAATTATTGCTACTACTTACCTATAGAAGACCTATTAAAATTGGCTAACAATAGTCATCCGATGTACATCTTAGGAGACTTTAACGCCAGACATAGGATTTTTGACAATACAAATAATAACGTCGTGGGAAACGCCCTTAATCAATTAATAAATTTAGGGAAAATCAATCATCTGGGTCCTAACTTTCCAACCTGGAGAAATCACAATACACAATCGACACCAGACAAAATTTTTACCAACAACAAAGCCTTTTCAATTACCATATAATACAGGCAGTGACCATCTGCCAATTATACTAACACTGTCAACAAGCCCCATAC